AACCAGAGATGTAAGACATATACATTGTTTCTACTAGGATTCTATTCTATTTTTGGGATAAAACAGGGAAAGGATAGAAACTCTGTTAGGTGTTACATCTGCAAGCATTACCATTAAAGAAAATTCCATTACTAAAAATGAAGTGAGAAAAAAATCTCCCTAACAATACCACAGACAGCAATAAAAAACTTTTTTTTTTGGGGGGGGGGGGGGGGACTAGGCTTTATTTTGGCAGTATTGCCTTGCAATAAATATTGTTTTTTTATGTAATCTATAGACAAAAAGGCATTAAAGAATGCATTTTTCTATTTTGATCAATGTTATTTTTTTAATAAGTAGTGTGTCTGTAAATAAAATGTATGCATTTTAATCTATAATTTGTCCCATTGAAATTACCCTAAAATTATATTTCTACATGCTGCCTCCTTTAACTTTTTTTTCTTTCTTCTTTGTTGGGTTCTTGAAACAGAGATGTAAGTTGAATATTTATTTCCGTTTAATCGTTAAATACTTCTTGCAGTCTAACAATGGCTAATGTTTGATTTTCATTCCTTTCAGAGGAAATCTAAAATCCCAGCTTCCAGGAAGCTTCTATTGAAGGTATGTTGCACTAAAGATTAATAGACTGGACTGAATGATGTAGTACCCAAAACAAATGTTCCTATATTTGGTAGGCACTACATTTGTAATACAGAGAATTTGAAAGTAAAACCCACAAATAACATCTTTATTGATTTTAAGTAGATTAGGATGGGTTAAAATTGTAGTAAAGTGTTGTGTCTACCAGAGAGGAGAAGGTTAAGCAGAGGGTTAAGGGGAAGTTCTCATGGACTTGTGGTCCCATTCAGCCTTAAAACTAAAAGGTAAAACAGGAAAATAGGCTTGATGGGCTTATGGATGGCAAGACATAAGTAAGCCACGGATCCCACATTTGTATAAATTTGGGTTGGGAATCATTAAGGGTGCTAGACAATTTTTCGTTGATCATCATCTTCCTGCAGGGAAACCGAGGGCTTCTCCCAGGCTTTAGCTATCGGTGGTTTGGGCACCAGGAAGAAGTACACGGCCAGTCATAGTTGATGAGTATAAAAAGCCTGGGATTGGGCAGTGGAGCAGAGCAAACGTAGCATCCCTGGGAAAAAAACAGGTGCAACAAGGTTTGAAGGAGTCTGAAAATTCTGGACCAGAAGGCACATAGTTTAGGGCTGGACTATCAGGTATGCAGCACATCTCCAACCACGAAAAATTTAAATAGTTGGGGTTTCCTTGAGAAATCCAGACCAGGACCCAGTGCCACAGAAAAAGAACTTTATAGGCCAATTCCAGGAAGGTCAGATTGAAAGAAAATTTTGCTACCTGAGACCAGGCCTTATTCCAAATCTCTTGGTCAACAGGAGTTGCTAGGTTGTGAGTCCAGTGTGTCACATAAGAAAGAGAAGCTAGTGGGCCTTGATTGTTAAGTGTCCAGTAGGGATATCTTTGTGATGACTGTCTAGGAAGTGATTTCCGCTAAATAAGAGATTTTCTCCCACTTCCCTCCAATGGTTCATAAGGATAAAAGTTTTAACCCTTATCCAAGATTAAAAAAAGAAAAGATTTTGGCTTTAGATATATTTTCTATAGACATACCAGTCTTTTGTGTGGGGCACAATCAAACACTGCTGACTTATCTCTGCATCTTGCCTAAAGTAATTTTTGGTAGGTCTGTCATGCCTACATGTCAAACTGTCACCTGTGCTCTTTGCTGAAAGGTCCAGGTACAACTTTATTTCAGTAAAAGTCAGAAGGACAATCCAAAGAGTAACCAACTTGGTTCAGGGATCCAGGCTTGAAAATGAAAACAATGTGAATGGGCTAGAAGTCAACTGGACCTTTAATGACTACAAGCACAAGTCTTGTAAGCAGCTGATTAGGCTGCTATGCCTGGGTTTTTGAACTCAAGAAATGTGTTGGCTACTCTTTGGATTGCCCTCCAGCTTATATTGGATAGAGTCATATCTGGACCTTTTAGCAGTTGTGTGGCACTTCAATCCATATTTTTGTTACATTACACAACAAACCAAGGGACCATGGAGATCCACTGGGATGCATAATCCACCTGCCTGGGAACCAGGCCACTTACATCAGCATCAATACTTTAGGATAGCAATACCAATAAGATAAACTTACGGGTACAGTGCCATTTATCCACTTTTCTCAACTACCCATGGTCTTTGTTTTCCTTTACAAAGTACTGTCATACACCTACAGGCAAGTTTATAAACCACTTCAGGACCAAACATTCTGGAACATTATTACTGATCAGTGAGTGTAAATACAAGAATCAGAAGTTTAGGGCTTTACATATTATTTGTGTGTCATCAACACTACCAGTGAAATAATTGAAGGCCTGAAGCAGATATTTCTTTGCCAGAGAATCCAGTAGGCACATGTGGAAAATTCCAGAGTGATCTGTACTTAGGAAAGAAAAACAGGCTTTATTAAAAAAAATTGGCATAGTCTTGGAGCTCTGATTGACAGGTGTGAGTTCAGCAGACATGACAACAACCTCAGGGCAGCTTACTACACATCACTTCTGCACCAAGTGTCTCTGATGAGCTCACTAAGCATGAAAGGAGAGTTTTCTTACTGTGTTCATGGCGACAGCAGATGGGATGAATGGGAATGTTTGTGAAAAATACAGTCTGAAGCCATTCTAGTTTCTTAAAGTGCACAAGTCAGTTCTGGGCTGGCCATGAAGCCATTCTGTACTAGCATTACTAACAGTTTCTCTTTTCTTGAGAAAAGGGAGAGAAGATAAGGAAATAGAACAGGAAGGAAAGAAAGAGTGAGGGGATGAGGAAGGAAGGGAAGGGAAGGAAGGAAGGAAGGAAGGAAGGAAGGAAGGAAGGAAGGAAGGAAGGAAGGAAGGGAAGGAAGGGAAGGAAGGGAAGGAAGGAAGGAAGGGAAGGAAGGAGGGAAAGAAGGAAGGAGGGGGGGCAAGGAAGGAAAAAGAGGGAAAGTAGGAAGGGAGGAACATTGGGAAAAGAAGGAGGGAGAGAGAGGTTCTGATGAAAGGAAGACAAAAATGGAAGATGGAAGAAAGGAAGGAGAGGATGATAGGGAAGGAAGGAATAGAGAGAGGGAGATAGGGAAAGAAGGTAGAAGAAAGGGAGATAGGGAAAGAAGGTAGAAGAGAGGAAGGAAGGAGATATGGAGATGGGGAAGGAAGGGATTGAAAGAGGGAAGGAAAGAAAGAAAAAAAACATTGAGATAGAAAGCAGGAAGGAAGAGATAGAGAGATGGAAGGAAAGGAGAGGGAGATGGGTAAGGAAAGGATTAGAGAGAGGGAAGGAAGGAAAGAATGAAGGAAAAAGAGAATGGAGGAAGGAAGGCAGGAAAGAAGAGAGGGAGGTAGAGAAAGAATGAAATAAGGGAAGTAGATTTGGTATGTTACTTTTTAACTCTTGGCTTTAGCTACCCTTTCAGGTACAACACTGCTTTTTTAATATACATGGTGCTTACTCTGTTTGCAACATGAACATAAGAAAAAAAACATGCATTCCTCTTTTATTTGATATAAAACAGAGATAACAAAATCTTAATATGGTGGAACAAGTACTAAAGGTACATTTGAGGAAAATACTTAGTTATATATTACCTTTAATGGCAACTTGTCAGCAGAGAAATAGAGCCCATTGCTGACCTCCTTCTGAAAATGCTAGCTGCCTGCCTTTCATGGTTATCCTCCAAATTGAATACTTTCTGTGCCAAAGACCTGGACCAAGCATGCAGCAAATAACATTAGAGTGAAGCTCCTGGTCTGCATGACAGACAGGAAAGAGATATTCTGCCTGGTTGAGATATACTATTGCACTTGGCTTTTAGCCTTGCAAATTATGCCCCGGTGTCTATTTCTCAGTGACAGTATTACTTTAATAAGTATGTGAATTCACTAGCTTGTAGGCCTCTTGCTGATTCACAGTGCTGCTTCTTGGTGTTTCTGGTCAGAAAGATAAGGCTTAACCTTCCCTATGATTCTCCACTGATATGTTCATTGATATGTCACTAAACAAACTGCTTCTTTTCTAGCAGGAAATACGAGGTCTGAATTTTGAACACTGTATAAAGAAATAATAAATGATAAAGAAAACTTGTCATAAGAGAAAGATGCAGGCAGCCATTCATGACTACCTTCTGAAAAATGCTAATTTCCCTGCTGCTGAGGGCAGCCAACTGATTGGCTGATTGCGCTTTGTACACCATTGCTCTTCTCCCCGTATTAGGCTTTTTACAATTTTGGGATGCACAGTTGAATAGCTAAGCATAAATTCTATGACTCTAGTCACATTCTGAAAAGGGGAATGCATGCTTTTTCCTATAAATATGTTGCAAACAGAGAAGTGTAAGTACTATGTGTATTAAAAGACTGTGTTGTACCTGAAAGTGTATCTAATGTGGAGAGCTAAATGTAATATACAGTATACTGCAGCTTTTGCAGTCCTTGGCTGCACTCATTTGTTTTGTTCAGACATTTTTTCTTTTATTTTCATCATATGATCCTGCTAATAACATATTTCCTATGCCAGGATGACAAAACTTACACACCGTACTGCATCAATGGAGAAACAGTGTTTGTCACAGGACATATTTTAGGAATACAGAACATCTCCCCTCATGTTAGGCAGAGGTATTTCATAGTCCTAACCTAACATATTTCCTGTCCTAGGGTGGCAATGCTTTACTCACTATACTGAATCTATGGTGGAGCAGCATTGTCAACCTAAGGTAGGAAAGATTTTAGGACTACAGAACAACCCCTCTCCCCCGTCCACAGACTGTGAACAAGGAACCATTTTAATTGATATGTACGGCAAAGACACAAAGAGAGAGTGCATGGAAAGTTATCAAACTTTTTCTATTCAGTCAAATATTATGTTTTAGATATATTTTGAACAACACAAAATGAATACTGGAGAGATGTCCATTTCTTTTCTTTTTTTTCTATATTGTAGACTCTTATGCTTCAAAAAGCCAGTGAAGACCTTGAAAGAGAGAAAAAAGAAGTAGAAGAGGAGAAAGCCCGAACCCTTTCAGAAAAAGTTCCACCCTTACAGTATGGTGGCCTGAACCTTCAGCAGCTACAGGTAATACAGTACTATGCAACATCTTGCTGCTTACAAAGTTGCTTTTTATATTATTGCTGTCTGCAATTTATCCACTCCTTCTTAAAATAAGTGAACCTGTGGCCAGGCTATAGACATTCAATATTTACATATTTTAAGCATTAAATAAGATTAACCGTCCATCTTTCTGACCTTTATGTTACACCCATATTTATGATGTACAGCACGGGTCAGCAACCTGTAGATCGCAATCTACTAGTAGATCATGGCCAGGTGATTGGTAGATCACAGTCTGGGCTTGCTGACCCACCATCCCAGAGCATTAAACAAAATGCAATGAAGAGGGACTACTTGTAAAGCCCCATGCACACAGGGTGTTTTTGCAGCTACTTCTAGGGGCGTCTGGCAGTTTTTTTTACTGTTTCTAAATGCCCCTCCATATTATCCTATGGGTCCATTCACACATAGACTTTTAGAAGATTTTAGTGACATGTGTACACCTTTGGTTGCTAAAGGGGGTAGGGACTGGAGGTAGTAAAACCACAATTAAACCACTGGGTTTTACCACCCCTCAAATGTACTGTATGTGTGAACGAGCCCTAAGGGTGCTGCTACCAAATGCAACTAAGGGCTCATTCACAAGTGCAGCAGGCATTGCTGCTCCTCTGAAAAGCAATCCGAGTGTGTTTGAGACAATATGTTGCCTATTTACCACCTGATTTAAACCCGTGATTTGCGTGCAATACGCGCAATTGCGACAGGGTAGTACGGCACTTAGAGGTTTAAATAAAGTGTGAGGAGATGACACTGTGCCCGGCGATCGTTGACTTCTCCCATGTTGTTCAGGTAGATCTCCACCTCTTTAAGGTTGCCTACCCCTGTTGTACTGTACCTTGAAACATGGACAGAATCTGCAGCTCCCCACCTTCAAACCGCCCCCTTTACAGAATCATGCGTTTCTACTCCCCGCAGGCTTGTCAAATTTACATCTGGTTCCACCCACATATCAGCGTTATAGATTGGCAGAGATCTGTGAATAAAAAGAATACAAGTCCTATCTGCCACCATGGCCAAAGGACTCATAGGTCCCAATGGAGCACAGATGCAGTGACATCACTGCACTCGTAGTCCACTGATACTTCCTCCAGTCCTATAGATGAAAGCCTGTACCTTGGTATAGACCTGAGCTGAAGAAAGAGTCTGCAGGAGCCAGAGCATTGCTGTTTTTGCAAAAGGTGAAATTAGCTACTAAGATAAAACCTCACTGACATCCGTAGCTGCAGACACTGTGGAGTATTTCATCCTTGAAGTTCACAGAAGTTCAAAGCAGAAGCCCTGAAGTCCTTCAAATATTTATCCACTGAAGGCAGATACTCAATACAGTATGCTACAATAATTCAGTTTATCAACAGCATTTCACATTTTTTTCAGCTAAACCTGAGTATTATATTAAAGAGGAACTTCACCCTAAATCCCCTCTTACTTTGTTAGCTGGATTATCATCAAAACATGTATGCACCATCCAGCGATTCCAGCTTTGTAATACTGTTATCCACTACTCCGCTGCTGCACACTGGGTCCTGCACTGCCATCTTTTTTATTCATGTCATCAGGAGCTCCTGTCTTTTTTGAGTTTTTGCAAGCAGCCCTCTGATGGCACACATGCAGTGCGGGAGATATGACATCAGTGTCCCAGAAGGCTGCACGCAACTGAGACATCATTCTCACCTAGGTGAGCATCCTGGAAGATGTCTGAAAAAAGTATTAAAAAATGTCCAATTGTGTTAGAGGTGATGGGTAGGATTTCATTGACAAAAGGTGGGTGATGAGGATGAAGGTCCACTCTATTTGCTGAGTTTGTTTTACTTCTCTCTCCAGGAGTTGTGCCACAAACTTCATAAACAGATCGATGCTGCAGATGAAGAACGCTTTGACATTGAAGCAAAAGTCAAAAAGAATGGTTTGGATGTAAGTCAGCTGCAATGCATATATTTATATATATGTTAAAGTGTTTTTCTGGACAAAAAAATGTGATACATCTCTCCATTACATGCAGATTTCCATGCATTAAAAATGCTGTAAGCACAGAAAAAAAACCTGCCAGAAATTCAGTGAGCTGAAGTGGCAATGCTGACTGAGCTGCATCCAGTGTTGTCAGCCCTGACAATTTTTTAATTGTTGGACTACAGAACACCTTCTCATTATGTTATGATCTTACGAAAGAAGAGGAAAGGGGGAGGGGTATCACCACCTTTTCTCATATGGCCACAATGAGGTTAAAATTAATTCAAAGCTGATCTTCCCAGGTTTCCTTTCAGAGATGTAAGGAGCCAGCAAGTGTTTCATCTTGCCAGAAGCCATGTTTTTGGATGTAGTTAACCATTAAATTCTGGACAACTATATGGCCATAGTGCACAAAAATAAGGACTGGTTCTAAGCAAGAAGTTGAATTGTTATACCTATACAGGCTTTCTTAATAAAGATTATCATAATCAGTATGAATCTAACTGAGCGTGAGAGGCCATCCAAACTCTGATTTTACCAATGTTGTCTCCCAGTTCCAAAGAATACATAACAGCGTTAAATAGCAAAAGTGTGTTACTGAGAAAGCAATGTAAACAACTACAGGACAGTAGTTATGCACACTTAGGACTCTTTAACATGGGCAATCTGATCAGGTCCGTCTGTCAATTTTTCAGGCAGACCTGATTAGAAGATCCATGCATTGCTATGGATAAGCAGGTGTAAAATGGAATTGTGTCCATTTACACCCACCTACCTCTGGGTCCGATCCTGTGGGACGGGGGTCTGTCCTTTTCCATTTAGGCAGATCAAAGGGTAGTCGGGTGTAAATGGACAGTGTATTCCTTTTACTCACAGCTGCCCATAGAGCTGAGCGGCCTTTGTCTGTGTCCGCTCTACAGAAACTGAGAGAACATGGATATGTCATCCACCAACCGCGCTCCAATCAGCAGGGGATCTATGAGCTGATCCCCTGCTAATCAGAATGGAGTCCACCCTGTGTGAAAATAGTCCAAGGAGCAGGGAGACAATGAGGAAGATCAGGTAGTTCATAAAGCAATGACTTGTAGTCCTGAAATGTCCTCCAACATTTAACACTAAGCTGGACAGCCAACAAGAGAACAAACGTTAAAAAAATTATAAGCAACTCTGAAAAATTACAATAGTTTAAAATCAAATATGCAGATTCATGCATCCTTTACATTCCCACCTAGAACTTATATATCAGTTTTTGTTGGATGAAAGTGCATTTAATCACCCTCTAGATTCTTATATTTCTCAAGGACACCATGGTGAGATACACCTGCTGTGGTTGCCAGTGCTGCCTTCCTGGATGGATGAAATATTTCTTTCCTCATTTCATAGATTGATGGCTTAAACCAGAAGATTTTTGACCTCAAGGGAAAATTCAAGCGCCCCAACCTGCGCAGAGTTCGTATCTCAGCTGACGCCATGCTCAAGGCCCTCTTAGGATCTACAACTAAGGTTTCCCTAGACCTGAGGGCTAACCTGAAGTCAGTGAAGAAGGAAGATGAAAAGGTTAGTAGTTTGCAGCTCAGATAGTTAAGTCTATATTACACCATCTATAGAAGTGTGGGATTAAAAAATGGAATGAATGAAACTGGAATTTTTGGCTGCAGCAGCAAACCAAAAGTCCAGCTTTCCTTTGTTTCTCCAGTACGAATTACAACATATGGCATATAGTGCAATGTAGGTGTAGGCAAAGGCTTATGGGCTTAGATTGGATCCCTTTGGACCCAGCAACTGGCAGGGTGGTAAAGCATAAACCTGCACAAGAACAGTACAAAAATAAATATGTAAATGTTACATCTTTCATTGGTTGTCCTGGACCATGTTGCTGCTTTAATTCTCTCCAGTTTTTAGACGTTTCTCAGAATGGAATGGGCAAGTGCTACTTTGGGCACACAGCAATCCTGTGTTGTCCTTATTCAAGACAAAGTAACACGTTCAAAACAACAAAAAATGATATTGCAACACCAGCTCAACAGCTGGGCTCTTGTTTTCCCTCCATTAAAGTGATTGTAAAGGCTCAAGGTTTTTCATCTTCATGCATTCTATGCATGAAAGTAAAAAGCTTCTGTGTGCAGCAGCGTTCCCAGCCCCCCATCGCCCCATTGCGATCCAGTGATGTGCATGAGAGCCTCGGCTCTCTAGGGACTCTCCCTTCTCATTGGCTGAGACAGCAGCTGGGGTCATTGGCTTCCACTGCTGTCAATCACAGTCATTGAGCCAATGAGGAGAGAGAGGTGGTGGGACCAAGCTGCAGCTGTGTGTGTAAATGGACAAGCAGAGCAGCAGCTCAGGAGCGAACCTGTTTTGTTGCCACCATAGCAAGCTGCTTGCTCTGGGGGCACTTGGAAGGAGGGAGGGGCTAGGAGCGCCGGTGGGGAACCCAAGAAGAGGAGGATCCGAGCTGCTCTATGCAAAACCATTCCAAGTATGTTTGTTTGTTTGTTTTTGGGTGGGGGGAGTTTATTGCCAATATCACTTTAATCATCAAATAAAATGAAAAAGCTGAAGGCTAGAGACACGCATTTTGTTACAAATGGAATCTCAGTGAAAATTTTCGTTATTCAGTATTCAGATGTATCCGAATCTCCAAATCACAATAGCAACAAATTTCAACAAATCTGAAATAAATTATAATGAAAACTACAAATTAATTTGTATTCATTTGTTTCATTTATATGTGATTTGCAAAAGATTTTGTAAGTTCAATAATATGTGTCACACTCTGTATTCTTATAATTGGCCGAAGCCAAAGTCGCAAAACATCAAAGTCCCAAGCAAGTTGCACCGAAGTCGCAAGCAAATCACATATAAGATGCAAGTCATTGAAATAACATAAGGAATTAATCTGAACATTTCAAAATAACTTTGGAAATATATGGATTCATTCAGAACAACAAACATACAAAACTAATCCAAATATATGAAACTAATTACGAAAAAGAATCATTCTTACATAATTATTATTTTACAGGATTTATATAGCGCCAACAGTCTATGCAGCACTTTACAAAAGGACTTTACAAAGGACAAACAGTACAGTTACAATACAATTCAATGCAGGAGGAATCAGAGAGCCTTGCCTGTTAGAGCTTACAATCTAAACACATAACGAATATGATGAAACAAAATGATTGACTTAACGAAGGCATCCGAAACCAAAATTTTTATTACTGGAGCACATCTTTGCTGGAGTCCCACTGTAATCTGTATGAAAAGTTTATTAGTTTAAAAACCAAAGGCACCCAACATCAACAGTAATGTTCACACATTTCAGCTATACAGCCTTAATCATAGCTCCCAGCTATGATTAAGGCTGTATAGCTGAAACTTGTTAATGTTCTCAGTGATGTTGGATGCCCTTGGCTTTTAAACTAATAAACCATTCATAAGGTTTGCAGTTGGACTGCAGGTTTTTTGTTTATTAAAGTAATAGGATGACTTGAGAGATCACCCACTCTGCTGTTAATAATGTTACTTGTGCATCCCCAACAGCCATATTTCCTGCCAGAGGCCTAAGATTAATCCCAGTGTAAGTCTGGGTTGGTCGTTAGGAGTTTATGTGCAGCTAAGGGTTCTCACTCTGCCCCTCTAGTGGTGACACATAGCTTTAAAATCATGCTGACTATTATGTAGGCATACCTCTGTGCATATCATATGTTTTCATAGCAAGAAACTTTGGTAAATACCTTTTTATGAGATGTTTTTAGAAGTTATGTGACTACTGTAGAATAGCTTCAGAGCCAGGGCTGTTTTGGGAGGAAGATGCCATTGCATGGTTTTAGATTTCAGTTCCAATGCTCCTTTGCTCCTGTATGAGCATGTGGCTAAGGAACTATGATCCATCAAGCATGGTAGGAAGGTGGGAGCTGATGAGCTGACTGAAGTGTGCTGACTAAGGAGGAGACTACAGGCAGGGGGTGACAATTATAATGCCGAGTTACAAAGAAGTGGGTTAGAGTTGTCACCCTATTCTAAGAAGCCTAATAGACAGTGCCATAACTGGCAGGTTCTCTAAGTAAGAGTACTTTGGATGCAGGAAAAATAAATTAAGCAAAAAGAAGTGCACAGATCCCTCCTGCAGCACATACTGACTTTTTGATTTGGGGTATATATACACTTTAAAAATGAAATGGCTCCTGGACAAAACTGAGATTCCACAGCTCCTACAATTGGATTTCATTAGTCTGAAATTAACAAAATGAAATCAACTAATATTTTATAAAGCAACTGGACCTGTTTCTGTTTTCCTTGCTTGGGTGAAGCAACCTCTTATAAATCACTCATAAGCCAAACAGCTTGGATACATTTAAGGTAGGCCCCAGGCTGCTTACTTATGATTGTTATTCCACTACAAGAGCAGTATAGCCAGCCCCATTAACAAGGGCACTGTATTGTTACTGAGGCCTTAATAACAGAAGTGCCATTAATATGGATGTGTTGTTTTTTTTTCATTACCTCCTTCCAAAAGGAAAATGTCAGCAGCTTTACTGACTCTGGGCTATGCAGATGGATCATATGCCACAGTGTTTGTTGGCGCCAGCCATTGTGTATTATAATGCAGGTTTAAATATTGCTGTTATTATCAGATAGGAATTGAGTTTCTTGGCAACTATGAAAATTAGACATATAAAGAAGGGGATTTATTTAAAGCAACAGTGTCATTTTAGCCCCTCCCCCATCAATGTATCAGTCCATACTTCCCACTTTATTGAAGCCCTTGCTTAGTTTCTGTGTTGAAGAGGGGCTTCCAGGTATGGTGGAGAATGTGACCTTCCTACGTGACAGTATCTGGACCACAGCAGCAACATGGGAGGGCTTCGGAGTGGACTTTTGCAGTGGGAAGTTGATTATAACTTGCTAGGGCATGAATCAGTGATCATAACTTGCTAGGGCACTCTCAAGAGACTTGATTACTCTGCCCATTCAGGGTATATATGACAGTGTCCAGACCTGAGAGACCATGTGTGAGGGGCTCTGCAGCTTACTCATGGTGAATGCTTGCAGTGGAAAGTTAGTGAGGGAGCATGGTTCGGTGATTATAGCTTGCTAGGGGGGGTATCAAGAGAAGTGGTTACTTTTCCCAATCTGGGTATTCATGACAATGTCACTTTAAACCTTACCATATAATATCTCACACACCCCCTGATCCTAACTCTCCTGCTCCAGTATAGTAGTATGTGGTAAGGTAAGGGTGTTCTTATATGGCTACCTCTCCTGAATAAATTGCTATTTAACACTTTCTCTAGTGTCACTCACATGACCAAATTTTAAAGCATTGGTCATGTGTCACAAGCATCCCATTATAGCATTATAGGTGAGACAAGTCAAAGGGTGGAGTTAAGGTGGGTGTGACGTACACATTTTGCTGAAAAAAACATTACACTCATTGCATCCATGGGAGTGCAACCTTTCTTTCCATAGACATTACTGGTGGTGAGATCTTGAATGAGCCTATTTGTGGCACATTCAGTTGCTTTGTGGGAGCAGGAGCTGGTATTCAGCAGTGTAATTTTTTGTTTAATTGGCCAGCTGTACCCAAATGACATCCTCCTAAGAAGATCTACATCGTCAGAGGTCACATGACCAGCGCCTCTTCATATAGTCACTTGACTGACGCTGGAGGGAACTCAAAACAACGTACATATTTAGCCAGTTATTGACATTGGGTGTGCTACACACCCCCCAAAAAAATTAAAGATATTAGGTGTGTGTAGTGAACATTTACTAGAAATTCCCAGCTGTCAATTTGACAGCCAGGACTTGATTTATTTATAGATGTCAGAAGCAGATGTCACTGAAACAATATTATTATTACTTTACTGTAACTTTTCTTGTTCATTCATAGCAGATCAAAGGGGTGATCTTTGATCTGCACATGCTGCTAGTTAAATGAATCCTGCAAATTAAAAAAATAAACAAGAAATATAAAATTAACCCCTAATAACCTATAGTTAACCCTAATTTGCCCCAATTAACTCCTTCCTTGTCTACTTCCTTTTCTACTTAACTATTTTATTTCTTTTTTTACTATTTATATATATATTTTTTTTAATAGTATTTGTTTGTTTCTCAATATTTTTATTTCATTTGTAAATAACTTTGCTATGCATTGTAATAGAAACAAAATTTAGTGTCATTGTACACAGGCGGAATTATATAATAAAATCTGCACTTTGTGTCGAGAGAGACTTGTTTTCAAACACTTGTCAAACTAGAAAAGGTGCATTTTTTAGATCCTTTGTCTACAGGTTGTCTATAGAAAATAAAATAAAAGACAATATACCCACGAACTGAACAAATCCTTGTGTCTATTAAACAAATGATATATGTAATAAGCAAAAACATTTTGCTGGGTCAATGGACCTATATCTGAAATGTAAATGTCGGTCTATAAGTGGTATACAGATGTGTGTAAGAGCTGAACTGGTTAAAGCTCAACACCAGCCAAAATGTTTCATTTTTTTGGATAGAACAGGAAGTGATGGGAAATCTTCCAAGTGGGGACCAACAAACACACGTTTCAGCAGGAACATTAGAATACCTGACAATTTTTTTATTGCTGCCAATGGTTTCCTGTCCTGGGTAAAACTTGACCACCTGATTTGTTGGCATGAATATTACAATAACAAGAAGGAAGGGACATTTTTCAGAATGAGGGTGCAGACAGAAAGTGGACATAAATTTTAAAGCTAAACTCACAAAAACGCTTCAAATAAAATTTCAAATGCCTTTGGAAACCAGTTATTATGTTGTAAAAGTAACAGTGACAGCATGATTGTGATTTACAAACCTGTGTAAATAGCAGAGCTGTGAGAGGGATGCAGCAAGCCCACCCACTATCTCCATACCATTGGATGGGTGGGTGTTCAGTAGTCCAGCTAGAAAGACCTAGAGAAAGTTGTGTACAAACAGACCTTTGGGGCAATATCAGGGACTAAGTTGACAGTAACATTACTAAAACCCCTTATAAATATATAATAGTAAAATGAACCTGTCTTACAATTTTACAAACCCATATTTCATTTGTGCTCATATACAGTATATGCACTGTACGGTACTATGTTTTTACATTTTATTTTTAAAAATGTTTACTCTGTATGATCCAGTCACTCCAAAGTTTAGCTGCCCTCTGCATCTATGACCACTCATTTCTGTTAACATCCTCAATCTCCAGAAGCTTTGGCACACTCCTACCCTGTTCCACTCTGCAATTGAGCACTTTTCTGTTGCCTGCTGAGATGCTCCATTGGATAATGGGATGGCTGGTTCTCATTAAATTACATACAGCTGGCATCTTGTATTTAAATGTGAGTGGCTGTGCTAAAGGAAAAATTAAGTAAATTTTTTATATTCTTTCAGGAAAAAAATGTTGAAGTTACTGACTGGCGTAAAAACATTGAAGCTATGTCTGGAATGGAGGGCAGAAAGAAGAAGTTTGACACCAGTAATGCATAAGGATGGTAAGTGGTTATGCATATGGAGCTGAAGGTAGAATATTATTTTATAATTCACAGTATTCAAACAAACAGATATACCAGTGGTCTAAACCAATGCTTCCCCACCATAACAAAAAATGTCCATTCTTTCTTGGATGAACTGCCTGTTGCCTTGGTTTGGTATTAGCTGCTATCTGCACCCTTTTCCTGACATATTTTAGCATAGTTCCTGTATTTCTCATCCTCTTCTGAATAACATCCTCTTCTATATGTCCTCTTTCTTTGCTCTCTGCAGCCACAGCTGCACACAATGGAGCATGAGAGGGTGGTTGCACAACATTAAATTATATAAGGAGAGTGAACAATCCCATCCACAAGCACCATGAGAAGAATGCTAAATTATGCCATAATCTTTAATGCAAAATACAGATAAAAGAATAAATTAAGCAGCCTAAGCACAGTTTTAATATTCCCTACATAACAGCAGTTTGCTAATTGAAGGGATATGATAATGTACAGGGTACTGTGAATTATTATTATTTACCTGAAAAGGATTTTTTATCTACACGGTAACAGGTCCTCCTTTTTAAATCATGTGGCTTATGGGGACTGGGGGTATTGTCGGTGGCTTGCCTGATTGAAAGTGATCTTGTCCCTGGGGTGGAATCTTGTGCTGGCTGTCGGTATAAAATATGGGGGGGTTTATAACAGAGTGAAGGTAATATGGAGAGTTCCCAGTGAAATTGATGTGTTGGATCCTTGTGGGTGAGGCACTTAGCAACTGGAAGATAAACAAGCAAGGTGTGGTACACCAGATCATGCATAAAAGAGCCTTGTAACTCTTAACAATGATTATCCCTTATTTGCTTTCTTTTGGTCTGTTAAATATACCAAACAATTTGTTTTATCTGTTTAATAAGTGCAAAACAAAATGGCTGATCTTGTCAGAGCTGTCTTGTGTCCTACCCACATTTCCTGTGTTATCTCAAGGAGACATCCTAGTGTTTGGACTACAGAATTGGCCTTTAAAGTGGGAGTGGCTGAGTAGTTTAGTAAAAGATAACTGGGCAGGGCTGACACCTGACCACCCACTCCACAAAAATGCTGTTTATTATTTGCTCACAACAGGAATTTTCACAAAATGGGCCAATTAAAACTCAGGCTCCATGTACAATGGAAACTTCTGAACGATGGAAACTGACTGCTGGAAAATGTAGGTTAAAAAAACGTCTGTTTAGCTGTTTACCACGTTTACAAGCGTTTGGTGTTTGAAACGCTGATAAAATCTACTCCTGAACGCAAGTTTAAAAAAAAAATGACTGTAAACTCAACTGCCTGTAAATGACTGTAAACGAAGATGTGTACATGGACACATAGGAAAACATTAGGGAGAGTTCAGGGGCTGCTGAGAAAAAACACAGAAAAGCTCCTAAACGTGAGTTTATCAGCTGCAGTGTACATGGAGCCTCAGTAAATAATTTTTTAAAAGGCATAAACATAGTAACACACAGGGGTGGACTGACAACTCATGGGGCCCCCGGGCAATAGGGGATCATGGGGCCCCTGTGTCCTTGCCCACACTCAAAAGCGCACCCAAAAAGCCTATAAAAAAAAGGTGCCAGGAGCATTTCATGGGGCCCCCTACTGACCCTGGGCCCTCGGGCATTGCCCGAGTGCTCGAATGGTCAGTCCGCCCCTGGTTACACAGTTTCTCAGGTTGAAAAAAGACACATGTTCATTTAGTTCAAACAATAGAAAAAACACACAATCAGAAAACCTCTATATACAAAATCATATACCCACAGTTGATTCAGAGAAAGACAAAAAACAAACAAAAACGCCAATTTGCTCCAGGCAGGGAAAATTCCTGGGATCCCCCAGGAGGCAATTGGATACTCCCTGAATCAACTACCCCTGGTGTTATTACTTACAAATGCTAATATTCAGTTATATTTTTTGCATTTAGGAATGATTCCAGCTCTTTTTAAAAACAGTCTACTAAGTTGGCCAGAACTAGCCCTTGAGGGAGTTTATTCCACATTTTGAAAGCTCTTACTGTGAAGAAGCCTTTCTGTATGTGGAGGCTAAATCTATTTTCCTTCAGATGTAAAGAGTGCCCCCTAGTCCGCTGTAATGACCTGAAACTGAATAAATCTACACCAAGTTCACTATATGGACCACTTATGTATTTATACCTGGTGATCATATCCCCCTTTCCTCATAGCTGAGCTCTTCCGTGCCTCTTATCAGTTTGGTTGCCCTTCTCTGCACTTTCTCCAGTTCCAGCATACTGTTAATGAAAACTGCATGTTGAACTGTTTGGTAGATCCAGTATATTAGGCAGCTGAAGTTACCTGCATATCATTTGCAGTAAAGTGGAGCTTGGTCCCACCCTACCACAACTTCCCTATTGGTTCATGGTTCTGCTGACAACTAAGAACCAAAACAGGGCATTTAGATATGGGATTGGCTGCAATAAGTTCATCTTTTGTGAGAAAGCTTTTTACAAGATTTGTATCTTACTACAGCTGCTTTTGTCACTAGTTCTACTGACGCTCAGTCCTCATCTAATACATCTTGCATTTTTATCTCATATCATAACCATAATCTGGAGCAGCTGTGCATGCTAACCAGTCAGCTTCTGTCTTTCATTTTCAAACCTTAACTGAACAAGCTGAAGATAGAAGCTGATTGGTTGCCATGTGCAGCTGCTCCAGATTCTTTTTGCTCCAGTTTTGATATATTATCGCCAGTGTGTGACAATGGCAGACGTTCATAGGGTATAGCTTGGCTTAAATTAAATTGCTGTGCTGACCTTTTTAACGCCTTACCTTGTCAAATTACTCATTATTACCAATGAAAGTATTGACCGTGATCCTTGGAAGTCAAACTCACAATGAGATATTGCTCTGTGCAATGTCACTATCTTCAGATAGTGTTTATTTTATATAGATATGCAGAGTATTCTGTACATTTCTGCAATACATGTGCATTTTCCCATGTTTTTTTCCCTTTAAGAACCCTGCGACTACAGAAAAATACCTGTTGCTATGTCAGAGATCTGCGTATATTACAGGGTATATAGTTGAAGGACTGCAGCGTCTTGTCACATGAGGCTGTACTGTACTCTCTCTGTCTTTATGTACTATAAAGGGCAGTGCTCAGAAAAAGGGAACACGTAGAGGCATATTTAGAAAGCACTGAATTTGAAATTTGCCAAACAATCCCTTCAGGTAAATCTACTAGCTGCATATATTTTAAATGACAGTGATTGACTCATCACCAATTAATGTTTGGTGAAAGACACATTCACATTCACAGTCTTATAAATATGCCCCTTAGGTTGTGGCTTACAGTCCCAGTTTAGAAGCCATACAGAGAGTAATAAATCACAATGGGAATTAGCAAAGCCGGCAAAAATAAATCTGGGGTTAGATTGAAGAATTCAAATAATGCAGCAGGTAGGCTTTTACTCGAATGGATTGGGCCTCAGCTGACAACACATAGAAGAACCCATGTTACTTATTCTGCTGATTCAGTTTGATGGAACATGATTTACATTGTTATTTACAACTGTAATAGTTGACTCTTAGCCAAGGATTATATTGTTTTGAAAGGTGAGTTACACCCATATCTACTAAAGACTTAGTGTAGAAAACAATGACTTTACAATTTGCAACAGTTCTTCTGCCGTCAGTAAAAAAAAAGTTAAATTATATATGTAAAACAACCAATTCAGTTTAAAATAGAAAAGAAAGGCAAAACTTTTGTGTGTATAAATATAAAACACATTATAAACACCATTTCCCCCCTTTTTTAAGTGATCACATTCCCTCTGTTCTTAGTTGCACAAGGAGCTCAGAGAGCTCAGGAGGAGAAACAGCAGGACACTGATCGTTCCAGTAAATGGCTGTGCAGGGGGGCATGTCAGCACAAGTCTGATCATTGGATGAGAGCAAGCTGAGTTCTCAGCACAGATAGAAAATTGAACACTCTGTACTCTCTTGCCTAGTGTGGACAGTTCTTAGTAGGAAAACTGTCAGGAACACCAGGCATTTTACACAAAAGAAGCAATACAAAGAGAACAGGATGCTTTTCCATATAAGTACATGGTACAGCAGATACATATCAGAAATGTTGGGTTTGCATATTCTTTAAAGTATATCAAAACACAAAAATAAAACTGAAGATATTTCAGCTTACCAGGCCTTAGAAACACGGTGGCTGTGTTATTTTGTTTCAGGTATATTTCTTTCTTTAAATTTTACCTGGTTATAATGCCAGTAACACACTTCCTGTCCTAGGGTGATATCACTCACTTACCGTATTGCATCTATATAGGAGAAGTGGTGTCACTCTAGAATAGGACTACAGGACATCTCCCCATCTCCATCACATTGGGCAATGTATTTCACAGGGTGGGCTAATAACCCTGCTTGAGATAACATTGCAGAGTGCACAGCAATGTATAGGCTCACAGGATTTCTGGCAGGATCAACACACTTTTTTCATTTATGGAAAAGATAACAAAACGCTTTAAATATTTTTTTTACAGAATAAAAGGGGAGCTAATTAGAGAAATTAATTGTTAGGGTTTATATACACTTTACATCTACAGATGGGATGGTATTTCTAGTGAACAGTGACAGTTTTCATAGCAGTTCAAGACAATATTGTGTTATTTTTTTTACACTGATGGCTCATTAAAGATCTACCTGTCTTTTTTCTGAACATACTTACAATCCATTGAGAGCACCAAACAAATGTCCAAGAGTTTAAAGTAATTTAATGATAAAATTGTTTCATAGCAGAATAAAGCCAACACATTTCAGGAGCCAGACATGCTCCCCCTTCGTCAGGTACAGATCTGTTAGTGAATAGGTTCCTTTCTCATCTAAGGGAGTGCTCCTGCCCTGTTGAAGGGGGGATCTATTGTATTATGAATTGGTATTATCATTAAATTACCTTGGATTCTTGGACGCTTGTTTGGTGCTCTCATTGGATTGTATGAGTGTGAAT